GGGGCGGCTGGGGGGAGGTGGCCGAGCAATGCGGGGAGGGGGAGCAAAGGAGTCAGAGGGAGGGAGATGCTGGGGAAAGGGGGGTGCTGGGGGACGGAGGCGGGTGCAGGGAGAGCTGGGGGGACGTGAGGATCTGGACGGGAAAGGGAGCTGCAGAGAGTGGGGTGGGTTTTGTGTGGGGGAGCGGGGCTGATTCTGCAGGGAGGGTGTCCCTGTCTCTCACCAGCCCCGGGGCCTTTTCCTACAGACACTGTCGATTGCGAGGGCCGCAGCCTGCTCAAGACCTTTGTGGCGGCTTCAGTGCGCAGGTGGGTGTGGTGCCCCGTAGCACCCACCCTCCGACCATGGGGCAGTGGAGAGATGCACGCCCCCTGCTGGTGCGCTGCGCATTCTCTCCCGGCCTCCCCTGGGGGAGAGATGCTGCTTCCCTCCTCATAACCCACAACTTCCGCCTTGATCTCCAGCGCCCCCTAGTGGTCCGGGGCTCGCTCACGTTCTTGGCTTAACCCCCTCTCTCGTGGTGCCTCCAGGGGGGAATCCGTCCATGTTTTTGGCTTTGAAATCCCCGAGGAAGAGTTCCGGGCTGGCTTTGACCCTGATGTGGCTGCACAGTGAGTTTTCCTGCCCCCCCATCCCAGGAGCCTCCCCACAGCTTCACTTCTCCTCCATTCCCACTGCCCCCGGACCAACATAGTATGGCCCTTACAACTCCCGTCTCCCCTTCACAAACCCTTTGCCTTCCCCTGACTTGGGGGAGTATTCTTGCCTCCCCAGGAGCTGAGATGTATCAGCTTTGTGTGCCTGCACTCCTCCCCTACTCTAGCCCCAGGCAGAATCCCTCTGCTGGGGTGGAGTGGGCAGGGACCCCTGGTAAATGGGGCCAGAGGCATGGGATAACTGCTAGCTTTTGAAGCAACAGACTCAGGCTCTTTGCAGACTCAATCAGTGTCAAGTTGGTACCCTGGGGCAGATGCCCTCTTCATGCTGGCCCATCCTCAGGGGTTGACTTTTGACCTTTTCTCCCCCCCCAGGTTGCTATATCAGGATGGGTTTACAGATCCCCTATGCTGGAACGGGAAGACAGGGGGATTCAGGGTGGAGGAGTTCTCAGTACTGGGGGTGGTGACGCGCTTGCAACGAGGACCTGTGGGATCTGCCACCATCATCCTGGACTCACTCAGTTGGCTTCTGCTGCACCGGCCTGTGCCTGCCCTGTGCCAGACACTGGCACAGATCCCGAGGGCTGCTGCCAATGCAGGTCTGGACTTCTGGGGGTGCTGGGAGCCAGAATTCTTGGGTTCTCTTCCCAGCTCTGGGAGGGGAGAGGAGTGGAGGCTTGTGATTAGAGCAAGGGGGCTGGGAGCCAGGACTTCTGGGTTCCCTCCCTGCTCTGGGCAGTGCAGGTAGGGGTTTGATCTTTCCCTTCTCTCTCTCTGCTCAGGCCTGCGTGTGACGAGGATCGTGGTCTTGCTGCATGGGGACCTGCACCCCCTGGGCCTGGTGGACACACTCCACTCCCTAGCCCGAGCTGTAGTGTGGGTGGGGCCAGCCCCGGAGGGCATGAGGAGCAAGGAGGATGCCCACCAACTAGCCTCCATGCTGCAGCGCAAGGGGAGCGGGAAAGTTGTTAAGAAGGTGGTGTTGGGGGGCCCACAGGAAGATCAGGGGGTGACTGGGATGGAGAAAAACATGGGACGGAGGGAGATTATGGGTTAGGGTATAGGCAGGTGAGGGGTGTATGTTAGGGGGCAGAGATGCCCCTAGATCTTGGATGTGTGGGGAGGTGTTATAGAGAGGAGAGGCTTTTGAATGGGTCAGGGTAACTTAGCAGCTGGGATGGGCAGGGAAGTAAGGAAGATGTGGGAGGAGTATGTGGCAAGGGAGGCTTTCCCTTTTGAGTTGGGGGTTTTGGGGTGATTTGGGGGGAGCAGTGGGAGGCCGGGATTGTCAGTTTTTGGGGGGTTGGCTCTGTCTCACTGTTGTACTTAAAAGTACTGCCCGGGATCTTTTCAGGGGGGAAAAGGCAAAGTGCCACATTTGTTGTTAATACTCATATAGCAATCAACACTTATATGCATATGATACAATATGTGCGTGTGTGCACACGCACATACTCCCCACCAACCCACACACCCCCTCTGTCTTGTTGTTACCAATAGTTGCTGCCCCTAACTGCTCTGGCCAGGTGATTAGGTGGTGGAGGGGTGGAGCCGGGCTTCTGCTGATCCGGATCGATGCTCCCATGTTGACAAGATGAAACCCGGGGTCCCCCTACAAGATGCCTAAGATTTATAGTGTCTTCCCTCTCATGTAGATCTACACCAGTTAGTGATCACATGCATATGCATAATCTGAGTTGTCATGCGTACGAAAAGCTTCAGGGGGTAGCCCAGTTAGTTTGTAAAGGAAAAAATTAAAAAACAAATCTATTAGCACCTTACAGATTAACAATATGTAGATGGTATGATGAGCTTTCGTGGGCATAACCCACTTCTTCAGATGACAGGAGTATTAGAAGGCCCGATCCAAGAACATATGCATATGAAGTTTGTTCCTGGTGGGCTCTCCAAAAGCTTTCAGGGTGAAGCCAGTCAGGATGGAGAAATATTCCTCCTGGCAGGGAGAAGGAAAAAGATGATGTAGATAAATCTCTGTATCAATCATAAATCTCAGTATTATTCTTTAATTGAAATTTTAAAATTGGTAACAAGTCCTTTTACATAGAAACTTTGTACTTTTTTAAATATAGAACATAGAAACTTTAAGTCTTTTGTATTAAGTCTTGGTAGAATAGTCCCTATGAATAAGTAAAGTAAGAGAATGTCCCTATTGAGTGAATGGATAAAACTAAAAAGACAAGCACCTCAGGGCAGTTGCAACTTTTGGAGAGAGGATGGAAGCCAGATCCCAGAATAATGAGATGAATAATGGGACCTCTGAAGTGGGCTCATTGAAAGAAGACAGAACATATGGGCTGTGTATACACTGTCACGATCGTGCGCAAAAACTTGCTGCCTGTCCACACTGGCCGTATGTTCTTGCGCAAGTAAACTGATGTTCTACTGTATGAAATCAGGGCTTCTTGCATAAGAACTATGATGCTCCTGCTCAGGAATAAGCCCTTTTGTGCAACTGTTCTTGTGAAAGAGGCCAATGTAGACAGGCAACATGAATTTCTTGCGGAAGAAAACCCTATGGTTAAAATGGCCATCAGAACTTTCTTGTGCAAGAGAGCGTCTACACTGGCATGTGCTTTTGCGCAAAAGCACATGCCAGTGTAGACGCTCTCTTGCACAAGAAAGTTCTGATGGCCATTTTAACCATAGGGTTTTCTTCCGCAAGAAATTCATGTTGCCTGTCTACATTGGCCTCTTTCACAAGAACAGTTGCACAAAAGGGCTTATTCCTGAGCAGGAGCATCATAGTTCTTATGCAAGAAGCCCTGATTTCATACAGTAGAACATCAGTTTACTTGCGCAAGAACATACGGCCAGTGTGGACAGGCAGCAAGTTTTTGCGCACGATCGTGACAGTGTATACACAGCCCATATGTTCTGTCTTCTTTCAATGAGCCCACTTCAGAGGTCCCATTATTCATCTCATTATTCTGGGATCTGGCTTCCATCCTCTCTCCAAAAGTTGCAACTGCCCTGAGGTGCTTGTCTTTTTAGTTTTATCCATTCACTCAATAGGGACATTCTCTTACTTTACTTATTCATAGGGACTATTCTACCAAGACTTAATACAAAAGACTTAAAGTTTCTATGTTCTATATTTAAAAAAGTACAAAGTTTCTATGTAAAAGGACTTGTTACCAATTTTAAAATTTCAATTAAAGAATAATACTGAGATTTATGATTGATACAGAGATTTATCTACATCATCTTTTTCCTTCTCCCTGCCAGGAGGAATATTTCTCCATCCTGACTGGCTTCACCCTGAAAGCTTTTGGAGAGCCCACCAGGAACACACCCCCAGATGAGGATGCTGACTCCCACTCTGCGGTAGGGTCCCTTTCCTCAGGAGCTGGGGGACCTCTATTACAGAGCCATGGACTCTGAAGGAGGCCAGGGTGGGATCAGTAGGGGCTGGTTGGGGAAGCTTGGTTTGGGGTGCTGGATATCTTGGGGGGCTGTCTGGGAGGAGTGGGCGAAATCTGGGGGCCTAGGGAGCACTCCTATCTCCCTTGTGACCCTCTAGGGCAGATTTTCCAGATGTGGACCCATTTTGACAATTCAGGAAGACTTGGTGACCCAAGGCAATTAAAAAACGGCACGGAAGGGAAGAGGAGAGGAGAGGGGGGCAGTGCCGTAGCTAGCTAATTTTGTGCCTGAGGCAAGAATATAAAATTGTGCTCCCTCCTGTTTATTTATTCATAGTAGTTATTTCATAGAAAAACTGAGAATACATTAATAATAAAATAATAACACTACATTTGAGTTGTGGTAGGGGAAAGACACATCCCCAAACTGCTCTCCTCCCCCCCACCCCGGCTTAACCCCACACTCAGAGGTTGGAGGGGATGGAGGAGACACATTCAGGGGCTGGGGAGCTGGAGGGCCGGAGAGTCACTTTCAGGAACTCGGAGTCTCACAGTCAGAGAGGCACCTTCACTCGGGCCTGAGAGTGTCACACTCAGTCACACACTCGGGTTGGGGGGAACACTCTTGGGCTGGGAGTCAGGGCGGGGAGAGGAGGAGGTACGCTCTGAGCCTTGCGCAAGAACACAGGTGTTACAAATTAGAAAAATACACACAAAATTGTACTTTTTTTTATATATTTTACCAAACAGTTTCACCTGAACTTAAATTAATGGGATGGTTGAGCGTGCATTTGCTTTGCTAACTGTTGTATCCTCTGAATTGTTGTGGCACTCCTGTCTCAGGCTCCCAAACACAGTCCCATCCCCTACCCCGGCCCCCGTGGCTGCAAGCCGCCCAAGACTCTTCCCTGGCCAGCCAACTCCAGCCGCGTGAACCCTAGCCGGGGTGGCTGGAAACCTCTCAACTGGACACCCAAACATCTGACCTCCCTATCCCCACCTACCTGAGCTGGGTGCTGCTTCTTCTCTGCATCCTGTAGCGTTCTAACTTCTTTCCTCTCGGCTGTGTCTAGACTGGCAAGTTTTTCCGCAAAGGAAAAACTTGCCAGCTGTCTACACTGGCCACTTGAATTTCCACAAGAACACTGACTTCCTACTGTCTGAAATCAGTGCTTCTTGCGGAAATACTATGCTGCTCCCGTTTGGGCAAAAGTCTTTTTGTGCAAAGCTTTTGCACAAAAGGGCCAGTGTAGACAGCTCAGATTTGTTTTGAGCAAAAAAGCCCCGATCGTGAAAATGGCGATCAGGGCTTTTTTGCGGAAAAGTGCATCTAGATTGGCACGGACGCTTTTCCGCAAAAAGTGCTTTTGCGGAAAAGCATCTGTGCCAATCTAGACGTTCTTTTCCGCAAATGCTTTTAACAGAAAAGTTTTCCATTAAAAGCATTTGCAGAAAATCATGCCAGTCTAGATGTAGTCCCCATGTCCAGGGATATTTTCTTACTACTCTGCGCTGAGTCACTGAAATGATATTCAATTAAATCGATTGGTTTAACTGCCTGAAGGTTGTTAAGCCAATTAAGCTGAGTACCACTTCAGGTGAATGGCTCTTTAAGACTAAGCCAGCTGTTGAGCTGGGAGGGGGAGGTACCTTTTCAAATGTGTGAATGGCTCCTTAAGAGCACCACCAGGGGAGACACTTGGTGACCCTTTTGAAATGTAATGGTGACCCATATTTGGGTCCGGACCTATAGGTTGGGAAACCCAGCTCTAGGATGACTCATACTGGGAGAGTTGGAGGCTTGCCCATGGGCAAGTCTGATAGGGAGGTAAGTGACTAACTGACTAGCCAACTATCTGATAAGCAGAAGGTTATTGGATAGTCAACACACTTGAGCTACTTCTACACTGGCGCATTCTCATGCAAAAACTCTTTTGTGGAAGAGTTCTTCTGCAAAAACTCTTCCAGAAGAGAGTGTCTACACTGGTATGTGCTTTTGCGCAAGAGCATCCATGCCAATGTAGATGCTCTCTTGTGCAAGAAAACTCTGATGGCAATTTTAACCATAGGGATTTCTTGCGCAAGAAATTCAGGTTGCCTGTCTACACTGGCCTCTTGCGCAAGAACAGTTGCGCAAAAGGGCTTATTCCTGAGCGGGAGCATCAGAGTTCTTGCGCAAGAAGCCCTGATTTCATACATTAGAACGTCAGTTTACTTGCGCAAGAACACGTGGCCAGTGTAGACAGGCAGCAAGTTTTTGTGCAAGAGTGGCCACTTTTGCGCAAGATTGCGCCAGTGTAGACACAGCATAGTCCACTAGTCACTCCCCCCCCCCCCCCACCCTTGCTGCCTCTATCAAAAAAAGAGGCAGCAAGGTGGGGGAACAAGAGTGGTGCTGGAGGGAGCCATCTTAAAAGCCGGTTCAGTCCAGCTCCATAGGAGGGAGCAGGGGTGCACCAGCAGCCAGCTTTGAATTGGAATACCACATGGAGCCTGGGGTTTGCAGGCTCCATGCGGGCACTTCCTCTTTGAAATGCACAATAGCCCCCACTGGAGCTCTTTGCTTTCAAAGCAGAAGTGCCCAGGATCAGTGGGACTCCCTGCTGGCTCCAGGCTCCATGCCGCATTCCAACTTTAAAATGCACCAGAGCTCCCGCTGGGGCTCTTGTACATTTCAAAGACAGATCACGGATGTTCTTGTTAACTAAGCAAATTGATGGAGGTCCCATTGACTATTTAGTTAGTTCATTAATTGAAATTTAACATCCCTAGTCTGATGACATCTGTTCTCCCCAGGTGGACACTGCCGCCTACCTGACCTTCAACCTGCAGCTGTCGGACACAGAGCGCCAGGCTCGGGACAGGGTGCCGCTGCCTTTCCATTTCAGTGCCCAAAAGTGAGTGTAGCTCATTCCCTGGGAGAAACAGCCCCCTAGAAACCTTCCCCGCCTCTGATCTGCACCCTCTCTGGGGGCAGCCTCCTGGATGCCTTCCCTGCCTCTGTTTTGCACCGCCTGGGGGGAGATACTCTCTGCCTTTGCACCTCTGAACAACCAGTATGCCCATCTATGCCCCCTTGACTCCTCACAAATTAAATCGGCCTCTGCCTTGCCCCTTCCCAGTTTACCCCCAGCCTCTGCCTCCCCAAATACTCATGATACGCATCCTGCCCTCCCATATTGTGTTCCATGGGAGCTAACTCCCTGCTTCGTCCCCATGCTAGGAAGTCATCTCTGCTTGAGGCCTCGGCTGGAACTGGAAAGATCTATTATGAACCGGATGCCACAGATGACCTGGACGAAGAGGATCCAGATGATGACCTGGATGTGTGAGAACTGAGGAGGGTGTGTGAGGCCTCTTCAGCTTCGATGGAGCCCCAGATCTCTGTCTGGGATGGAGCCCAGTTCTGGTGCTGCCATATCTAGGATGGGGCAATACCCAGGAGTGCACTGCTGACACCTGCTTAGGGGCAGAGAAAGGGTGGTTGTTTTTGTGAGGTCACGTGGTGCCATCAGGCTTTTGACTGGAGTTAGTATCTGACTAGGAGTGGGGCTGAGTTGTGGCCCTGGCCCCTCTTTCCCCATAAAGCCCCCCTATCATTCTGCTGTCCCTCACATCTCTACCACTTCCCCTTGTGGCATGGGAATGGACTTCCATAAAGGACCCGGAGTTGGATGGGAACTGGCATCCTGTAGAGGGAATGGGTCCTGTGGCTCATTCCCTGACCTTCTGAGCCAGCTGGGATTGGAGCCAGCTCTGTTTGTAGAGGTACGACTCATCCTGCTTCAGTAGAGAGAAGGCTCCCCTCCCCCCCACTCTTAAAACTAGCTGATTCCCTTTTTTGGTAGAATGTACAAAAAAAACTCAACGTCCATTGCTGCTGCCTCTGCCAGACCCCCATGTTGTTCCCTTGTTTGTATAAACCATGTGCCTTGTGCAGCAATTAAATGAAACTGATGTGTGTTTAATATCAGAGCACTGGGGAGGGGTTCAGCACTGCTGGAGAAAGGGAACACTGGGTGGGAGTGAAGTGGGGTCTAGTGATTAGAGCTAGGGGAAGGCAGTACGCCTAGGTCTGTCCCCTGCTCTGGGAGGGAAGTGAGGGGCTGGTGGGCTAGAGCAGGGCATGGTTGGAGTTAGGACTCCTCTAAGTTCTACAGCCATTCTGTCCCTAGGACAGGGTGTCCCAATCCAGTGCAGAGCAAAACTCCATTAATCCCCAGTACAGTAGGGGGTTTGTACCCCCAGAATATTTCCTCTTATAAATGGGTGACATGCTGGAACTATTTGGATGGGCACAGCTCGGGGGGAGAGGGGAGGCAAGGCTGGTCTAGGAAGTGGGTGGTGAGTTTGTGGTTGGCAGGGGTGGTCACTGGTTAGAAGGGTGCCCCCTTCTGATGTCCTCTCCCAAGTCTCTGGATCACCCCCTTTGCCTGGCTCCGCCCACTTTATCCTCCTTGAAGACGGGCCACCTGATGGCCCCGCCCACTTGCTCCTCTGGACACCCTGCCCCTTTTGGCTCTTCCCAACTGCTTCTCTGGCCCGACCCCCTTTCCTTTGACTGACTTTTATTTGTCAAGCCACGCCCCTTTCTGGCAATCCCTGCCCCTTTAACTGTTCGGAATAGCTTGTCTCGGGCACCCCCCCGCCCCTTTCCTACGGCTCCTCCCTGTTTGTCAGTCAGCAGTCCTGTCCCTTTCCGGTGGCCACGCCTACTTGTCACCGGAAGCCCGCCCTCCTGGGCATTCCCATCCGCTTTTCACCATCCACTTTGGTTGCTATTTTGTCCATCCTTAGGCCCCGCCCACTCGCCTCAAAATTCCGCCATTCTTGACCGTTCCCAACCGCTTGCCTCTGGCCCCGCCCCCTTTACCTTTTCCTCCTTTCAGCCGGCGCCTTTCGGTGGCCACGCCTACTTGTCACCGGAAGCCCGCCCTCCTGGGCATTCCCATCCGCTTTTCACCATCCACTTTGGTTGCTATTTTGTCCATCCTTAGGCCCCGCCCACTCGCCTCAAAATTCCGCCATTCTTGACCGTTCCCAACCGCTTGCCTCTGGCCCCGCCCCCTTTACCTTTTCCTCCTTTCAGCCGGCGCCTTTTCTCTTGCGGACCCCACTGGGCTCCGCCCCCCGCGGCTCTGTCCTCAGGCCTCGCCCCTTTCCGGGGGAATGTTGGCGCATGCGCGCCGCAGCTGTAGCTACCGCGCCGCC